TTAATATTTTTCTTTGTTCTGTAGATTTAGTGTTTTGACTATTATGTGACATGGGAGTTTCTTTTTTAATTTTAATTTTTTGTTAATTATAGTTTATTCACTTTGTATCCCAGTTGTAGCCCCCCCTCTCTCATTCCCTCCCAATCCCGCCCTCTCTCCCTTTTCTTCTCCGGTGCCCCTCTCCAAGTCCACTGCTAGGCGAGGGCCTCCCTCCATTCCATCTGACCCTAGCCAATCAGGTCTCATCAGAACCGAAAACATTGTCTCCTCTGTGGCCTGGTAAGGCTGGTCCCCCCTCAGTGGGAGGTGATCAACGAGCCAGCCACTGTGTTCATGTCAGAGACAGTTCCTGTTCCCTTAATAGGGAACCCACTTAGATACTGAGCTGCCATAGGCTACATCTGTGCAGAGATTCTAGGTTATCTCAGGGTATTACCTTGGGTTAGAGTATTGGCCTCAGAAAAGACACCTGGGCCCAGATTTTTGGTACTGTTGTTCTCCTTGTGGAGCTCCTGTCCTCTTCACGTCTTTCTATGTACCCCTTCCTTCAGAAGAGTCTCTGCACTCTGCCCAAAGTTTGTCTATGAGTCTCAGCATCTTCTTTGATGCCCTACTGGGTAGAATCTTTCAGAGACCCTCTGTGGTAGGTTCCTGTCCTGTTGCCTGTTTTCTCCCTCTTCTGATGTTCACCCCGTTTGCCTTTCTGAGTGAGGATTAATCATCTTACCCTGGGTCCTTTTTCTTTCTTAGCTTCTTTAGGTGCACAGATTTTGGTATGTTTATCTTATATGATTTGTCAAATCACTTATAAGTGAGCGTATACCATGTGTGTCTTTCTGCATCTGGGATAACTCACTCAGGATGATCTTTAGTTCCCACTACTTGCCTACATATTTCATGATATTCTTGTTTTTAATTGCTGAGCCATATTCCATTGTGTAAAGGTACCCTAATTTCTGCATCCATTCCTCAGTTGAGGGTCATCTGTGGGTAATAATGCTTTTAAAAATATTTTAGAGACTATTCTTCTAACACACGTACAGCTAGCAAAGATTTTCTTTCTTCTGTGGCTGGGTTGCCAGTCCACTCAAATCATAGTGACATAGGAAGAATTCACTTATAGGGACTCTTTTATTCTAATGTACTTATATCCTTTCACTGCTAAGTAATTAGCTCTTGTGATTAATTCTGCTAGATAAGTTTTGTATTAGATCAGGTCTAACATTACCAATTTTAAAACAATGTAAAGAAGGCTAGGGATGAAAGGAGTATACTTCAATATAATGTCATTTGGGAAAAACTGAAAGCATTTTCCCCAATATCAACTCTAAGACAAGGAATTCCACATCCCACATTCATGTTCTATTTAGTCTTTAGTCTTAACTAAAGCAATAAGACAAGAAAAGATAATAAAGTGGTTAGACATAAAAAAAAGATGTAAAGGTATCTATATTTGCACGTGGTTATTCTGTGCATAAGAGACCATAAACCCCCTACAAAATGTTTTATCTCATAAATAATTTTAGTAAAGTATAATGATTCAAAATAAACAGAAAACCAATAATATTTCTATCAATGACAAACATACTGAAGTTTCAGTTAATTCAGGATATGATGCACCTCACAGTAAACACAAACACAGACACCTAGTTACACACACACTCACACACTCACACACTCACACACTCACACACTCACACTATGACCACCAGCACCACCACCACCACCTTGGAAAAAGATAGCTGAGAAACGTACAGCTACAGGTGGTATATGCGATAATTACCTTGATGGCATGTTACAACTGATTTCAGTATTTAGTCCTAGATAATTAGGGGACAAATGGTTTCTTAGCTGTGGTGGATATCCTTGAATGGGTTAAAACATTAACACAATCTTGGACAATCTGACTCTACTTAGTTCTTTAGTTTTATGAGAATTATTTTCCTTTAAGTAACTTCTATGTATCATGCACAAAATAAATAAATAAATAAATAAATAAATAAATAAATAAATAAATAAGTAAATAAATAAATAAATAAATTCTTTAGTTATAAAGGTCATTACTTGTATCCTTTCAAAGCATTTAGATAAGATTAAATCCCCAAAACATTGAAATCAATCTACAAAATAGTGGGAATAATTTCTCAAAAGTGAGAATATACATATAAGCCAAAAAATGTAAAAAGATAAAGTAATATTTATGAGTGATCCTGGAAAATAAATGTATGGATGCCAAATAAAAGAAGTGAACTGGTTAAGTGAATAAAGTCACTAACTCTGGGAATAATGAAGCCACCAGAGGGAGCTGTGAACATTCTTAGAAACCTTCAGAGACATCATATGGTCAAATTCCCTGGACCTATTACAGCTGTTTCTTCCCAGAGGCAAATTCACAGCACAGAGTACAGGACCTACCTGGATCTTCCTTTCACACTGTAACTGCTCTGAGGGCTGAGAACCAGGTAGTGGAAGGAATTTACAGCTCATGGTAACATAATCCACAGCAGAAAGGACTCACAGAAAAGAACAGTCTCAGTTGTGAGATGTCACAGAATTACACACAGCATACCAGAAGCACATATCTTAGAAATTATACTATGGCTTTTTCAGCGGAGGCAGAGATTTGGTGAGCTGCAAAATGAATGTAGCCTCTTGGCTGTGATGATTGTGTGTCATGAGGCAATTGTGTTTACAGTAAACTAATCACTAAGGACCTTCAGCATAGAAAAGATGCCATTTGCTCTTTGATCAGGAATCAGTATCTGATCTTCTCTAACCCAGAAGGCTCCCTTAAACAGACTTTCACCTTGATCATCAGGCTCTTCCTCCTGAGAGATTCCTTTGCAATAAATTAACCTCCATCCTTCTAAGGGTGTGTAAATTGAGCAACAGCACTAAGGCTGAGTAGGGAGCAGAGGCAATCATGGATGGAAACACATTTGCAGAAAGGTTCTGGGTCTGGAATGAGGAGTGGATACAATATGACCTGAGGCAGGGTTGCTCCACTGTAAGGTCAGGATCAATGCCCCTCATGCTGTGATCTGAGTTTGCCCTTCCTCCTGCACTTCCCTCAAGTTGCATGTAGAAATGTGCATCAGCAGATCTCAATTCCTACTGCACATTGCCAACATGGACCAGCAATCCATGGGAACATCTACTCTACAATTTATGGCATTTATTCTTGTACGGTTTGGAGGTTTCCTCTGCCAAGGTGTTGGGACTCAGCTGCCTTCACTCTGTATCTTCTGGTGATACAGAGACCTCAGCAAGCAGCCACTCCTCTGTCAATCTCCCCACTACTCAAATCTAGTTCCTTTCATAGAAACATATGGATTCATGCATTCCTAAGATGATAGAATTATTCCTCTATCAGGTATGGTGATGTAGATAGAAGTACAAATCTCCATTTTGTGACAGTTGGAAAAAGGGTCAGCACCTGTTTTTGTTTACACCCAAGTCAAATCTGACTCCCTAACCACCAAGCTCAGTCATCTCCATGTTCTGTCCACACCTGTTCCTCTCCTGTTGATATGCCCAGTAGCTGTTTTTTCTTTTTATTTAACTAATTTTTCCACTCTACCTTATATTTTAATTACTACAAGATAAAAGTAGCCCTACTTTTCAAGAGAAGAGCACTTTATATATTTCCCTGGCTCCCAATCAATGCATTGCTGCCACAGGGTCCAGATCCTGACTCCAAATATTGACATTTTCTTATATACATATTATGTAGAAATGGAAGAAAAGAGCAAGAAATATGCATTACAATTAGATTTTGATAACTATGCTTTCATAAATAATTTTTGTGCAGAAGTTCTAATATAGTCTTGATGTTAATAACCTTTCAGAATTACATTTTTGTTATAAATTTAAAACAAGTTAGTGATCAGGAATTTTTATAAAATATATGCCATGTTAAAGACAAAGTTTTGCAAGTACACACACATATAATTTGTATAAAAAGTTAATTTTGAGTATGTTAGCATACAGATACACACATATGTGTATAGGTGTATACATATATAATTAAAAAAATAAAAAGTTAGATTCTACCACCCTACATTTCCCGAACATATTAATTCAACCTAAAAAGCTTGGATCTACTCATCTTTCTGATTTCTTGCTCAAAACTACAACCAAACTTCAAACAAAACATGCACTTACATGCTGAAATAACAGCCATCAAATACCTTTGAAAGCCCTTTTATACATTGTGTGATATTCACTTTATCCTTTCCAGTTTGTGAGGGTATATTTATGTACTATGCTATAGTTTCTTTTTTAGTTTACACACATTTGAGTTATATGAACCATCAATATTTCTACCATGTATTAATATTTCTATGACTAGACTGGACCAGAATGACAACAATTTTAAACAGTTGTTCTAACTCTAAAATGGACTGCTGTAAAACATTTGCTACCTCCCGCAGTGCATCAGACTCATTTATTTTGTAAGATTACCATCTTCTGCTCTTGTCACTCCAATTCATACTTCTGTTTGTGCAATGACGCTTCATCATGAGTTGATTTTGCAAGTATAGACTCATTATTCTAAACACATCCACCTTTTTTCATGAAGTGACAAGTGTGATGAAGAAACAAATAACAAGTCACTTCCCATCATTAACCTACTCACTCTGAGCTCTTGCAATTATTTTGTTTCTTTCTCCTTTTCCATTCCTTTCTACTACACTGCATATTGCAGAATTTCTCCACACTGTGAGGAGGGTAAGTCTTGGTGAAACATGATTTTTTATTGTTGATGTCTTTCTAGGACATTGCCAGCATTTATGTATGGCTCTGGAGAGGCAAAGGCAGCTAAGAGTAATGATTCTGGCCTTGGTTCTTATTAAAATGTGGTCAATAACTTGTGTCAAATCAGTATCTTTCAACTGACAGCTTAAAATAAGCCTGGAAGAGGAGCTCATTTGCATTAACAGCCCCCTCATTGCCTACAGCAGGAGTTATAGTTAGCTGGTAGCACTACCTGGCACTGAGTAATCGTGGAAAGAACAAACGTGGACTGTGAGTCATGGCCTGGACTTCTCTTTTGATCACACTCCTGGCTCACTGCACAGGTCAGGGGGGCTTTCTGGGCTGCTGTGGGGATACAACAGTGTACAGCTTGTCTCTGCTTTGCTGCTGACCACTGGATTTCTCACCTGTTTATAGGAGCCATGTCCCAGGCAGTTGTGACTCAGGAATCTTCACTCACCACATCTCCTGGAGAGACAGCCACACTCACTTGTGGCTCAAGTACTGGGGCTGTTACTACCAATAACTATGCCATATGGGTCCAAGAAAAACCTTACCACATACACAAGGGTCTTATAGGTAGTACCAGCAGCCGAGCTCCAGGTATTCCTGCCCGATTCTCAGGCTCCCTGCTTGGAGACAAGGCTGTCCTCACCATCACAGGGGCCCAGCCTGAGGATGAGGCTGTGTATTACTGTGCTCTGTGGTTCAGCAACCATTTCCACAGTGGCACATGCAGATGGGGAAGTAGAACACAAACCCCCTGGTACAGCCTCCTAACTGTCTTCTTACCATGTGGCTATATCTCCCTAAGCTCAGAGTGCCTGTTTGGTAACCATAGAGAACTTCATAGAAGCTATTAACTGAAGCTACAAAATGTTCTGTTTCAACACATTTTTGTGACAATTATGTGATAACAAGCTTTAGTGGAGTACTTCACATAACATAGAATCACCTGAGCAGGAAGTCTCAATGTGGAGTTTGTCTACACTGGGGAGGCCTGAACAATGTTCTTAATTAAATGATGTGAGAGGAAGACTATGGGTGGCACGATAATTTAGGCAGATAGTCCTCAAATGTATAAGTTGAAATCAAGCTGAATGCAATCAAGTATGCCAGCAAGTGATCATATATGTATTCCTTTCTCTTGGTTCTTGACTGTGTGTGATGTGACCAGAAGCCTAAAGCTCTTTTTGCTGTAAATTCCCTACAATAATAGACTGTAATCGAAAACTGTGAATAGAAGCATTCTGTTTCTTTCCCAAGTTGCTTTATGTCCTGGTACTTTATTACTGCAACAGAATGAAACTAGGATAGATGTGTTCATAAAAGCCACTTAAACAATAATGTCACCCTCACTGCCAGGAACAACATGGCTTCTGCAGCAGGTCTGTGTGCTGTTTTCTGCAATGTGCTGCATGTTCCCAGCCACCATTCCCTCATTTTAAAAATATTGCAGCCTGGCTTTCTCTGATAATACCTTCCTATGTTATCCTGGATCCTAATTCACTAGAACTTGAAATCACATTGTCTCCTGCACCAAGTAAGAGAACCTGGTTACAGATGCTCACCCTGTACAATTCAAAAGAAGATTATCCTTATGCTCAAACAACTCATAGAAGACATTAATATAAATTATTTTACTGTTGTGGGTTGTACTATTCACTATTGATATTGTTTTCATTAAGCAGTGGTTATTTCTAAACAACTCTATAACCAAATCACCACACAGAGACTATGATTTATTAATTAACCTAGAGCACAATGTTGGGTAATAGTTACTCCATCCTAAACTTCCAAGCCCGCATATTTTCCTACCATTCAGATTCACCCGTTATACTTGCTTTTCATCATATCTTAGCTTTAGTCACATCTTAGGTCCAGTTCATATCTCCATGTGCTTCTAAGACCTCTCCTGGGGATTCTCCTCTTCTCTCTTCCTTCTTCCTCCCACTCCATACCAGGATGTCCCACCCTATCCTCTCCATTGCTCAACATTGTGGCTGGATGTGTTAACTGACAAAATAGAGAACAAATGGTGGCATGTTTACACAAACTTGAGACAGGTGATGCTCTAGCTAACCAAATGGAACCAAAAAACAAGTGGGTATCAATATTCTTATATGTGACAAAATAGTATTAGTCAGAAGAAATGCATACCAAATATACCTTACTCAATTTCATAAATAAAATACTACAGGATATAAGTTCACAGGTTAGCTCCAATATATTGATAATTGGTAACCTCAATAGTTGACCTTCCCAACAGAAAGGTCATCTGAAAAAACTTAAAAAGAGAAACATTAGATTAAGTGATATTACAAATAAAAAATAAAAAATAAAGGGCTACATCTGTGCAAGGGTTCTAGGTTATCTCCATGCATGGTCCTTGGTTAGAGTATCAGTCTCACAAAAGACTCCTTTGCCCAGATTTGTTGGTTTTGTTGCTCTCCTTGTGGAGCTCCAGTCAACTTCAGGTCTTTCTGTCTTCCCCTTCTTACATAAGATTCCCTGCACTCTGTCCAAAGTTTAGCTATGAGTCTCAGTATCTGCTTTAATACTCTGCTGGGTAGAGTCTTTCAGAGGCCTTCTGTGGTAGGCTCCTGTCTTGTTCCTTGTTTTCACTCTCTTCTATTGTCTCCAAGTGGGTTCCCTAGGAAGGCGAACAGAGGCTGTCTCTTATATGAACTCAGTGGCTGGCTCTTTAAGCACCTCCACCTGAGTTGGGGGCAGCCTTACCAGGCCACAGAGGAAGACAGTGCAGATAGTCCTGATGAGACCTTATAGGCTTAGGTCAGATGAAAGAGGAGGAGGACCTCCCTTATCAGTGGACTGGGGGAGGGACATGGGGGGAAAGAGGGTGGGATTGGGAGGGGATGAGGGAAGGGGCTACAGCTGGGCTACAAAGTGAAAAAAATTGTAATAAATTTAAAAAAATTTTAAAAACAACTGAAAAAAAAGAAAAGAAAAGAAAAGAAAGAAACTGAAGGGCCCAAGCATCTGTACTGCAGGAGCTGTGCTGCCATGACAGGCTTCATAAGATACTGTAGGACTGATTTTTGGTTTCCTAGTAATGTTCCTACAGTTGTGTAGATCATATTTCTATTTCTCAGAACATGGAAATGAGATACAATAACTCAATAGCCTCCATGAAAAATCAGAAACAATAATTTAATAATCACCTTGAAAAGTTGCTAAGCACTCTTTGTTACCTGGGAACATCTTTTTTAACTTGGACACTACATGAAGTCCTTGCCTCCTATTTCCTAGATCCATACGAATCAATCAGTTTATGACAAGCTTGCTTCTGCTAAATGCAAACCTATCATGTAATCTCCAAGTTGGAACGTCCTCTTCCTTGCTCAAACCATAATAAAAACCTACTTATGCAGCTATTTGGGGCTTCTTCCCTAATCCACTGTGTTGGACAGTGGGAAGTCAGAGCTTAAGCCCTAAATAAAGGCTCTTTGTTATTGCATCCTGCTTGTCTTTGAAGTCTTTGCAATCTGGGCATAAATAAAACCAACAAATACTACACTGCATTTACTATGAATTGAAAGAAATAGCAGCCTTATCAGGAGCTCATGGAACTTTTTTCCCAAAACTGATGACAGGTTGGAAAACAAATGAAATTCAAGCAAATAAAGTAAAACTAAATACTATGCTGAGTTATGTTTGAACCATGGTACCTCTGGGACCAGGGACCCTCTGCTCTAGTAGCCAGACATCAGATCCCTCCTGCTCCCCTGAGGACAACATTAGAATTCCTGGGGACAGCATTCCAGCAAAGAAGCCATAGTTCTGCTGGTAATCCTGTAGAGACCAGATGAACAATAGAAGCCCAGGAATCCCAAATTCAAGATGGCACAGCCAAGATAAATTTGAGTAGCAGAAGCACAGAGTCTGCTGCACTCAAATCACCAGCACTCATTGTTGTGCCCTGCACCTTTCTTGTCTTCATGAAGACTACTCCAAACTTGAAAGACAGGAAGAACAGTCTGCAGTACATGTTCCAGGAACAAATTTCCAAGGCTATGGACCACCAGATGGCTAAAGGCCCATGTAAGAACACAATGAACACAAACCAGAACATCATGGCTTCACCAGAAACCCTAAAAATCAATGGAAACTCTAACATGGCTGAAACACAGAAAAATTACCTTAAATCTATAATTATGTAGTTAATAGAGGCACACAAAGAGGAAACAAACAAATCTCTCAAAGAAATATAGACAAATGCCACCAAACAAGTGGAGGCCATCATGGGCAGCCAGGACTCCACAATCAAACAGATGAAGGAAATGAATAAAATCATTCAAGACATGAAAACAGAATTAGAATTGATAAAGAAAACACAAACCGAGAAATGCCTAGAGTTGAAAAGCTTAGAGAAGAGATCAGAAACCACAGAGCTAAGCATCACCAACAGAATACAAGGAGAAGATGGTGGAGAGAATCTTAGGTTTTGAAGATACAACTGAAGAAATCAATACATCTCCCAAAGAAAACATGAAAACAGCAAAGTTCCTGACACAGAACATCCAAGAAACCAAGGACATCATGAAAGGATGAAATTTAAAAATAACAGGAATAGACAAAAATGAAAATTCCGGGTCTTAGGGTCCAGAAAAAAAAATCATAGAAGAAATTTTCTCCAACCTTAAAAAAAGATGCCCTTAAACATAACAGAGGCATACAGATTACCAAATAAACTAAACCAGAAAAGAAATTCCTCATGCCACAAAATAATGAAAACAGTAAATCTACAGAACAATGAAAAATATTAAAAGTGGCAAGGAAAAAAGGCCAAAATAATATATAAGGGTAGAACTATAAGAATCACACCAGACTTCTCAACAGAAACTATGAAAGCCAGAAGGACCTGGGCAGATGTCATGTAGACACTAAGAAACCACAGATGCCAACCCAGACTACTACACTCAGAAAAACTTTCAATCAACATAGATGGAGAAAACAAAATATTCCATGACTAAACTAAACTTAAAAATATCTACACAGCAACCTAACGCTACAGAAGATACTAGAAGGATAACTCCAATCTAATGAAATCAACTGCTCCCCTCCCCCCAAAAAAGCACAGAATATAGACAACTTCACAAGAAAAATAAAAAGAAAACAAGCACACAAACACACTATTAGCACCAATTCCTCTATAAAAGGAATGAACATTCATTGGTCACTAATATATCTATCAACATCAATGGACTCAACTCTTTAATAAAAAAGACACAGACTGACAGAATGGTTGTGGAAACAGGATTCAACATTCTGCTGCATTCAAGAAACATACATATGTAACAAATAACCTCAGATATAACCTCAGAGTAAATAGCTGGAAAAAGATTTTCCAAGCAAATGGACCCACAAAGCCAGCTGGAGTAACCATACTAATACCTAATAACATAGATTTTCAACCAAAATTAATCAAATGGGAGGGGGAGGGACACTTCATTCTCATAAAGGAAAAATCTACCACAAACACATCACAATCTTTGCCCTAAATGCAAGGGCACTTGCATTCATAAAAGAAACAATATGAAAGCTCAAATCACACACCAATCCCAACACATTAATAGTGGGAGATTTCAACACCCCACTCTCACCAAGGGCCATATCATGGAGACAAAAACTAAATACAGAAATAAAGAAGCTAATAGAGTTAATGAATCAAATGGACTTGATAGATGTCTACAGAACTTTTCATCTAAACACAAAAGAACATACGTTCTTTTCAGCCCATCAAATAATCTCAAAAAAAAAATGATTATACAGTTGTGCACAAAGCAAACTTCAACAGATACATGAAGACTGAAATAATCCTTTGTGTCCTATAAGAACACTA